CGAAATCCCGAATTGAAAGACACGAAATCCCGTAGTCCCGAATTATAAAACACGAAATCCCGTTTTAAAAGTCCTACGTCCATTAATAATATCAAAATTGGATTACGGGATGTTCTTTCAAATTTTAAGAACGAAAAAAGTTGGGGAAAACGGGCAAATGAATACTCAGACAGGACTGCTCCCGTGCGGTGCCCCAGCACTTGATTTGTCAGTCTATTTATAGTTTTTGGATTAGTTCGATTGAAAATATGTTCAATACTGGAACTCTTAACACCTGCTTTGATCACAAATAACATCCATTAGTTTACTAAAATTATTCCTTCCTCACCTTCAGTATCGCTTTTCCTTTTTCTGCAAGAGCCTGTTTTAACCAGTGAAACATTATGATAACCGGTTACTAGGTTAATGTAATCGAGAAACATCAAGCGGTGACTGATATGCTGAGTTATATCCGGGAAGATTAATTTAAAAGGAACAATGTCAAGTTATAGAAATAAAGGTTGAGACAGAAAAAAACAAGTAATTATATTTCGTATTTAATTACCATAAACAAATACACAAAAAAAAAATCAGTGTCGAAATTTTAGTGAGGCAATTGCCTCACTTGCCTCAATGGTAGTTACGGCCTTGGCTACACATCAAATATAGTGACCGAATGATTATAGAATCTGAGAAACAGACCAAACCAAGATCACTTACAATAACTTACAAGGTAGTGTTGTTCAATAAGTCATAAACGTCTGGTTAAGTTCAGATGAACCCTACCAGACAGACATTTACATCATACAATCATTCAATACACTAAACTATAGTTCATGTATTGCTTTGAGTGTCTGACAACCATTCCCACCACTCAATCTTCAAACTGACTTTCAAACCATAAAATGGGGCCAATGTCAAATTTACCTGCAAAACAGACATGTACACCATATAATGATTTCATGCACCAACAATATTGCTTATTGTATTGAGTAACATATTTTACCATGAAAACTTATCATTGATCAATGAAACATGAAAATAAGTTCAAGGATATATGAACTCCGTCAGACCGACATGTACACTACGCAATCATTCAATACCCTACATATAAAAATTACCTATTGCTAATTGCTGAGAAAAGGACTTAACCATGAAAACCTATCATAAACCGCTGCACCATGAAAATGAGGTAAATGGCACATGAACCTTGGCAGAGAGACATGCATTCATCAAATATAGTTGACCTCTCGATTATAGTATGGGAGCACGCACTTAAATACAAAAAACTTACAAAGTTGATTCAGTGCTTAAAGTATCTGAGACACTGACTTGACCACGAAAACTCCACCTTGTCCGTTGATCCATTAAGGGCATACGCTACAGTGTTAATCCCGTGATGAATCTTCAACGAAAATTTACATACAAGGTATTTTTCACCTAGTCAATTTAAATGTGAAATAAAAGATATACCTTTGTCTGTTACCTTTAGAGAAAAATTGGGTCTAAATTTAGACATTTATTCGAAATTTCGATTTCTTGGACATTTTCATCCTTTGAACAGACATACCTATTTTTTTTGTATCAAAAGATAACCATATAAAGCGGATTTTTGGTAAAAACATGTGTATACCAATTCTTTGGAAATAATTCTTTTTTATTGAATTTTCTTTAATTTTAGAAAACATTTTTTGCTGTATATCTATTTAATCAAAATAAAAATCATCGGCGATTTGCTAATAAAAAATTGGTGCAACTAATCTTTGTACAAAATCAAACCGAGTGTAATTTTTTTAAAAGAGGGGTCCATGTACCCATTTTCAAGGTAATGTTTAAAATCAGTCGAAAAATTCTTTTTCGATACATCACAGTGACGTCACGAAAAGTCACATTTTTTACTTTAGCAATGTCATTACCTCCCCTGTAACTGTATACCCTGGAATGAGGTCAAGGCCCGATGAATCCTGTCAGAGGGTCATATAGACCTTGTAGGGATCCGATAGATCAAATATAATAGTTATTCTATTACTCATAATAAGTGAGAAATTTTCAAACGAAACAACTGTTCAGCTTTTAAGCAGTCGCTGAACTATGATAATTAGACCAAGGACAATGTAAATATAACAGACTAACACTTCATATTATGTTAATGCATCTGAAAACAAGGTAAATAAACCTATCTTAAAAGGTTATCAATTCAACACTGTAATCAGATCTTTTAATATTGTTTTTATTGGTATAAATATTGATGTTAATATCATTAAATTAAAATCATACTGAATAGTTTTGTATTTAACGGTACTACAGTATGTCGATACCGTTATTTTGGCATTACACAAGATCATGTTTTTCTCTGACAGTTAATGACTTAATCCATTGGATGTTGGATGTGTACTGATTGATTTTTTACTCTTAGGAATATGATTTTTTTTATTAGTTGTTATTGGCTTTGAACTAGCTGTCAGTAACTGAGAGTGCTCTCAGATCTGTACTTAGTGTCCTTTTTGTTGTTAGGATGATCAGGGATGGATAAATACCCTACCACTTCCGGTCTGTGTTTCTGTGTTTATGTTTGATTTTTTTCTTCTTTGTGTTGATGTGGTTAGTTCAGCCTTTTTCATCAGATTTTTGTAGTTTGTTCATATGTTGTGCTGTTACACCACTGTCCAAGGTTTAGGGGGAGTATTGAGCGCTCACAAACATGTTTAACCCCGTCACATTCTTCATGTGCCTGTCCCAATTCAGGTGCTGAGCTTGTAGTTCAGTGGTTGTCATTGGTTCATGTCTGTCTCATTTGTTTTTCGTTAATTGTTTTGTTATAAATTAGGCCGTTAGTTTTCTCGATTGAATTGTTTCATATTTTTAATGTTTGGGCCTTTTATAGCCAACTATACAGTATGGGTTTTTCTCATTGTTGAAGGTAATATGATTGCCTATAATTGCTTACATCCACTTTATTTGAACTTTCATGGATAGTTGTATCATTGGCAATCATACCTCATCTCCCTATGTTTATAGGAAGAATTCAGGTCTTCTACAATCTGAATTATAAGGCTTTATGCAAATATTAGATGTGGTGTCACATCCACATCACTATACCTCACATTCTGTAACTTTTGGCGCAGGCGAGACTTTAAAGATTTTATCCAAAAACCTAATAGTTTTTATACAATCCCTGAACCCAAAAATGAGGTCAAAGACAAATGACATGGCATACTGGTATTTCAAAGCCATTCATTCATATGTTTTTTAGATTATCCAGATATTTTACCATCCAAATAAAATTTGTAATAGGCTTACGAAGGAGCATGAATCATGCCTGCAATTGCTGTTGTCAGTTTAAATGTGTAATATTGTCCTCCAAAAATTAAGTCCATGTATAAGCAAGTATGAAAATAAATACAACATTCGTTATTTAAATGTTAATTCTTGATCAGGAAAAGCTTCTGTCCAAGTTTCATAAAGTTCCATGATTGTTTGACCAAGTAGTTGTTGTCTGAAAAAAACTTTCACTTCATACCGAATCCATGTTTACAAAGCCACTACTGCCTGACTGCAAGATCACTTTGCATAACTTCTGCGACTATCATCCCAGACTGGACTATAAAGCTTTATACAATTAGTAAACTTTAATTTTTCAGTGGCAAATTTAATTTCTGTCATCCATCTAGGTCATCCACCTTTGCAGAACCAACCTATTCTATTTTTAATGGATATGCATAACCAATTTGTTACTGGATGTCACACAAACAATTATCAATCTCACATTTTGCATTAGTGCTCCTATGTTCTAGATAAAAACAGTCATGACAGTCATGACAGCCTCACGTTATTATTTTTGTTATAATTTATAGATATAAGAAGATGTGGTATGAGTGCCAATGAGACAACTCTCCATCCAAGTCACAATTTGTAAAAGAAAATCCATTATAGGTCAAAGTACGGTCTTCAACACAGAGCCTTGGCTCACACCGAACAGTAAGCTATAAAGGGCCCCAAAAATGACTAGTGTAAAACCATTCAAGCGGGAAAACCAACGGTCTAATCTATATAAAAAACCAGAAACATGAAACACTTATGAACCACATCAACAAACGACAACTACTGAACATCAGGTTCCTGACTTAGGACAGGTGCAAACAAATGCAGCGAGTTTGTAGATATTGTAAGCACAAATTTGTTTATTAATAGATCTTATTGGTAAATCTGTTGATGAAATAAAAGAAGCAGAGCCTCTCCTTGTGACTCATCACTTAACTAGTGTATAGAAATATGATCACCTTGAATTTTCAATCATGTCATATCAGGCAGTAAAAATAATGCCAATGAAGAGCATCTGTTCGTCTGAGCAGAATGTATTTATAATACATTCTGCAATTTCAGTTGAAATGGGGACTTTATATCTGATTATCTGATGCCTAATGTTTAGAGAAAGTCAGGCTCTGTCCATAGAACAACTTGAAAGGTTCTGCAGTTGATATGTTGCAAGACTACATTTCTGCCCCTCTGTAACACACCTTTTTTCATTCAAAAACTTCAGCCCTTTCCCTTCATTTCAGTCGACCCATATCGTAGAACCTATCTAATTTATTGTTGTTTTGTTTGTGTCCAGAATATCCATGAAGAAGTGTTGATGTTGGGCAAACAACAATTTAAAGATCCATAGGGTTGTCATGGTGAACAAGCTAAAACTGCTGCCCACACCAGGCATTGTTTAAAGGTATAACCCTATTAAGGCTACAGAAGCATTGGACTATTTTTTTTCTAAGTTTCTTTATGAAAACCTTTTTTTCTCCATTTGGGAGCACACACCTGGTGCCTGTCCTCCCCATGTAACTGTCACTGCATATTATATTTCATCACTTCCTGTATGGTCAGGATGAATAAGGAATATCACCTGAGCTGCAGTGTATACATATAATTCTAAAGATTCTACAAAATATAGGGATGAGGAAGACATTAGCACTCAGTCTGCTTGAAGTATTTATCATAAATAAATATTTAAATAAAATTACTACCAATTAAAAATCAAATAATCAAATAATTTAATTATAAAAAAATTTCACATCTATCATGTCTATATACATGATATACTTTCAATCATATATTTTCTAGAATTTCAGAACATTTAGTGTTTATTTTAATGTTGGCTAGTTTATCTGCCCTTGTTGGTCCTATACTAACAATAGCTATGGGTTTCTTCTGTTCATGAGCAGCATTTACAAATCTGTATCCTGAGTATACCTTTAAAACATAAAAGGAAGTCATTTCAATATCACAAAAAAGAAAAGAAAAATACCTTAGAAAGAAAAAAAGAAAAATCATGGTATTAATATACATAGCATATAAGCATATTAAATGTGCATGTAATTTCCAGTAATTAGCATGATTTGACACCACTTCTTAGGTACATGTATATATTATTTTCCCATAGTTTTATAATGTAATGATTTGGTATTGTTTGTAATATTTTTTTTATGTATGTATCTTTAACTTTTCCCAGTACAACTGTGTGAAATTTGGCAATTTCCCTGATGTCTGTAAACACTACAAAATAGATAATAAATCTTATTTTTATGCAATTATCTACATCCACATGGCCATAAATTATAACTAGTCATCATGGGGTTAACCTTGACCGAACTCAAACTTGAACTGCTGTCATTTGTTGAAAATTTTAAGAAAATCAAAATCCTGATAATATGCTCACCTTAGTATATATGTACTAACACCCTCATTAAAAAAAAAGTTCTAGTTTTTGAAAACTGAATGAGAAGTTAGCAGGACAAACCATGTACCCATCATGCCTTATATAACCAAAACATGACAAATTTCAACAACATGCCATTTGTGAAATATTCATGGAAAACCAAAATCCTGACAACATGGACAATATTCACACATTTAGACATATGTCATTTCATGTATAAACGTTCAAGCTTAAAAACTGAGGAGAAGTTAGCCAGAAACAACTACTGTGGATTCATTTATTTTCGTGGGTACAAATTTTCGTGGATTGAAGAAAACTAGCATTTTCGTGGATATTTGATTTCGTGGTTTTGCCAATGTCAGTGTACAAGGCAATATAACATTTGTAATTCGTTGAACATTTAAATTCGTGGTTCACCTGTTCCCACGAAACCAACGAAAATTAGTATCCAACGAATAATAATGAATGCACAGTAATGTACCCTGCATGCCTAATACTACCATGACATGACTAAGTAAACAACCAGCTATTATTTGTTGAAAATAAAAAAAAAACAGAATTCTGATAATATGCACACCTTGAATACATGTTCTTACACCCTGTATAATATAATACTTCTAGCTTAAAAACTATAGGAGGACTAAGTCGAAAAAACTTTATACCCTATGTGGGTGGACGGACATACAGGGCCTGGGTAAAACAATATGCCCTCTAACATTTTGTCGCAATGGGCATAAAAACTAGTTTTAATTTCTTTTAATCATTTTACATGTTTTATGTTAGTTGGCCTAAGTAGAGTCACTGACAAAACAGACCCGTAGCAAGGATGTCTCTGAGGGGGTTATTTGCAATTGGTGTCAAGACGCTTTGACTTTTATAGTCAAAATTAAATCTCAATTTCAACTTAAAATAGAATTTTTGTTGTATGGGGGGAAGGGTTGTCTGAACTCTCCTGGCTACTAATATGCTAAATTGCAAGTTATTTTATAAATGTAAAACAAACCAAGCAACCTGCAAATTGATGTAACATGCATGTAGTTATTCAGTTTCTCTTTAAAAATAAGGAGATGTGGTATGACTGCCAATGAAACAACTATCTATCAAAGTTAAAATGAAGTGGATGTAAGCAATTATAGGCAACCGTACGGCCTTCAACAATGAGAAGGGTCAGCTATATATCTCTGTTGGCTTTTGCTTAAGTAATCAGTGGCTTATCACTTTGCACAGGGCTTTTGCTTAAGTAATCACTTTGCACATGGGTTTTGCTTTATAAGTATTCACTTTGCACACAGGTTTTGCTTAAGTAATCACTTTGCGCATGGCTTTTGCTTAAGTAATCACTTTGCACACTTAATTTTTCCTAAAGACACGTTCTTACCTCGAGTGATGATCCAAGTACAAGAAGACTATCAGACTCTTTCACCTTATCAAATACAAAATCTACTCGAGGTCTTGGAACATTGTCTCCAAAGAATACAATCTCTGGTTTTAATACTCCACCACACTTCTTACAAGAAGGAACCTGAAATAAGTTATATACATAATACATGACGTGTACATGTTGACATGCAGAAATTATTAACAACAATGATGCTCATGATGCTGGTACCAAATAAAAATAGAGTTTAGGGTTTCCTCCTTGAGACATAAACACTAGGTAGGCAGGGACAGGATTGGTTTTTTATTTTGCTAATTTTTTTATACCTTGATCATGTTGAGTATATATCATGAACTATACATGATATATGTGGGTCTGAATGGGGTTTACAGAATAGAGAATAATGGACCAAGGTTGAAGAAAAATAGGCCCAAAAAATAAAGAATGTAGAATAATTGGACATGTTGGATGCTAAAATATAAAAAAATAAGAGAATAAAATTTTGGCAAAAAATGTAAGGAATATATATGGAAAAAAAATTACCTAAAATTTAAAGAATACAGAAATGAAGGCTGCCACATTGAGATCCTCATGTACCTGTTTACTACCACTTACAAAAGTGTGAAAATAACCTTTAGGGCTACTAAGCCATTTTCCAGCATTAAAAATAGGATATCATAAGTAGAGAAACCTTAAAAAAAAAACATATGTTATTTTGTGTCTGGAGTAAGGATGACCAATATCTACATACCGAAATACAGTGAAATTTTTTGGCAAGTTTCCATTGTCAGTTATTATTTACTAGATGCCTTATTGATCATATTGAAGCAATGTTTGTAACAACAGCAGACAGATCATCTGATCACACATGCTTACAATATAAACTTCTTCATTCTTAATATAACTGGAACAAATTGCCAAAAAGTCAATGATGTTTTCTGTAATCTTAATCAAATTTTGAACTTTCAATTGAGCAAATATGAGTTACATGTATGTATGTAACAGGAAGTCTCATATCTTGGTAAAAATGTACCGTACATTGTATCTTTTTGGTGTCAGAAATATGTATTAATAGCTTTTATAGTGAAATGACACAATGAAATTCACATGCAGTGAAATACCATAAAAAGTGTAATCTATATCCGGTTACCCAGTATATTTATTTAGAGATAAAAACCATGCCCCCTTCCCACTCCCACAAAAATGCTCAATGGTCAGTTCTAAACCCAATACATGTATATGTACATGTACCTACATTAAATCCATTTATCTGTTCTTGACTGAGTTGTACATCTCCATCAGGTGCCATGTCAACAGATTCTGAATGCCACATAGGATTGTCTCCCTTTATCATATCCTGAAGTTCTGGTCTCGATATCATATGTTTACAATCTAAACATTCCACTCTGTGAGCACTTCCATGTAGTTCCGTCAGATTTTTACTTCCTGCTTTGTAATGTAGAGCATCAACATTTTGTGTCACCAACCAATGAAGATTACCAATTGTTTCCCATTCACTCAAAATCTTGTGTGTATTATTAGGCAATACAGATGAAAATGTAGGCCAACCTACAAAATTTCTTGCCCAGTATCTCTGCCTTATGTCTGCTTTTTTTACAAAGTCTTGATACTGGACTGGTCTATTTGAACTTCTCGCATATAGTCCCACTCCTTCAGATCTATAATCAGGAATACCACTTTCAGTTGATATCCCAGCACCTGTTATAACTAACAGTCTTTTAGAATTATGAATGAATTCCTTGAATTTATCTACATCTGTCTCATTTGCAGGTGAATGTGGTGGAACAAAATGTGGACGTGAAGACTGAGTTGTTCCTAACACTGAATACAAACGGAAGTGTTTTACCAGCGGCTCATACTTCTTGATTGAATTCATGTCTATACTATAAACCTCTGTAGAGGGCTAAACCCTAGATGTCTAATTTAAAACTGTGACAGCTCTTTGAATGTGCACATACATGTATGATAAGAAAGTTATAATACTCTACATGTATGTTATTTCAATATGTACTGCAGATCAGGAAATTCTCCAGGTGTATAATTAAAAGCAATTTTTCTAAAATCATCAGGTAGATCATTCCATAAACAGAAGCTGTATATTTAAATGAGTTCTTACATAAGGTTGATGTTCGAACCCTAGGTAATCTACAATATTAGAATATTCAAAATTATATTTACAGTCTTTCAATACAACTAAATCATTCTTTAGTATTATTTATAAGTGTTGTTGATATGTTTGTTCAGTACTGGTGCACCAGCTCGTAATAGCTTTTTTTATATTGATCGTTTTCACCAGTTTGTCTACATTTTGTACCATCATGACCATTGTCTACAGTGTCAACATGTATAGAATGCCCTCTTTATGATATTCAAAGGGAAGATTTTTTTTCAAAACATTTCTAATAATTGTTATAATTTTAAAAATTTAAATAAATCTTCTAAATTTGTATGGCTCTTGACCCAAGAAAATGTAACTCTTATGGAAAAACTGGGCTGTTATATTTGTGATTGTTTTGAATTAAGGAGATCAGGTATGAATATTGACACTAAGTCAAGTAAATGATTTGAGAATGAATGCATATAATGTAATTTTATTCTTTTATTCACAATATATATGTGGTTTTTGGCTCTGATTCTGACCAATGCTAATATACTAAATATATATTTACAAGTGACTATTATTGTTGTTGTTACCAATTATGTAAATCAATTGTATCTGATTTTATGCCCTTTATGGGCCCTGTAATTTGGGAAATAAAAATATTCTATTGTATAGGTTTAAAATCAAAAAATTTATCATGTTGCATGTTAGCTTTAATTTCCAAAATACTAGGGTGTGTTTTTTCTTCAAAAATAGTACCTTTGACTATGTCATTAATTGGCAACATTAACAAAAAAAGTATTAAAGTTGTCACAAACATCTTTAGTGTTGTTTAAAATTTTATTTTCGTCCACTAGTACAATTTTTTGTTGGCTGCAGTTAGACTTTTTTTTAGAGAGAAATGGTTTAACTGTACTACAAAAGTGTTTACATTTTTGTCCTCCAGCACATCTTTCTTGAAAACAAATATTCACCGATTTTCTTTTTAATTTTGTTACCATATTTCTTTGGGGGGCAGATAGTCCAAATAATTATGACGTCTTGAAAGGCTATTATATTTTTTTTCTTTGACGCCTTACATCGGTCGCAGGAAGGCGTCAAAGCAAAAATTTAAAATAGCCTTCAAAGACGTCATAATTATTTGGACTAGGGCATGTACATGTAGGGGGCAGACTGATTATGAGCAGATCATGATGAGGTGACATACATCATTGTACATGTATCATGCCTCCATAGCGGGTATTTTTCTTGATCTTGTCTGTGTGTCCTGTTTAACAGAAACTTTCTGAGAAAGGAAAGAACACACAATTTATACTTCTTATTTGTCTTTTGAAAGACCAAAATATTTCAGTAACATTTTGTTGAGAAGTCTTTTATATGGTACCTTGTCAAAAACAAAGTGTACCTGTCATTAAAAGTTTGACGTAGGAGGTTTTTTGTGTCTGATATTGATACTTAAAATGTAAAGTAGTTACAAACCTACTAACCTAGAGCAAGGCAGTTTTCCAATTTGTGATTACGCAATCATGAACGGAAATGTAGTTTGCTATCTTAAACTCCGAACCGTACATGGACTCTCGACTCCTACAAACACTCTCTATTTTGCTGAAATGTCCAATAAGGTCATACATAACAGCAAGGAGATTAAAATTGAATACTAAAAATGTAAATTCAGTTCAAATTTTGTCACCAAAAGGGTATTTAATTATGCAAGTTTTAAAACTATAAAAACCGAGTTTTACTATCCGTTTCCGCATCTGCATGCATTGGGGTTGCACTAATGACAGGACGATTGCCCGGATAGTGACAGGACGATTGACCGGATGAGATGTGTATAGTCATAACTGTTTTGTTATTCGGTAGATTATTTTAATATTTGTAGACCTTAGAGATATTACACTATATTTTATGAAAAAAAAACAAAATAAATGAAAAAAAATATTTTTGAGCAAATAAAGTTGACCGGACGGATTTCACACTCGCCGATATTCGCTATACATATATTCAACTGGTCGACAACAGGTGTTAATATTTCTTTTGTTTTACAATATTTGTCGATGAAATTAAGGAATCTGTGAGAATAATAAATATTTAATACGAAAATTTAAACTTTATAGTAAACAAAAATGTTTTTCTGCAAAAAAAGTTGACCGGACGGTATTGACATACGCCGATGTACGCGTTGATTATATTGAACTGATCGACAAAAAGTGTTTATAATTTTTTTGTTTTACAATATTTTGACATGAAACTAAGAAATCTGCGAGATCAATAAATATATGATATGAAAATATAAATTTTGTAGAAAAACAAAATGCTTTTCTGGAAAAAAAGTTGACCGGACGGTATTGACATTCGCCGATGTACGCGTTGATTATTGAACTGATCGACAAAAAGTGTTTATAATATTTTTACAAGAAACTAAGAAATCTGTGAGATCAATAAATATATGATATGAAAATATAAATTTTATAGTAAAAAAAAATGTTTTTCTTCAAAAAAATTTGACCGGACGGAATTAACATTCGCCGATATATGCTTTAGCAGAGCGTGTATACTCGGGGGGTGTGACTTTTTGCTGTTCCCATGGCCAACGGGTACATACACCGTTTCATCTCCCTCATAATGCACAAGTATTAAGCTTTTTTTACTTTTGAAACTATATGCAGTTTTCTTAAACTGTAAAGAACCAACTGGTCTTTTTCTACCGTTTGTATTGTCTGTTGTTCCTGGTAATCGGATTTTGTAAAAATGTTTTTTAAGAACATCATTACCAATGGTGACTGATTTTGTACCATTATTTATCCACAGATATTGGTCACATTTCCAATCATCTGCCCCAGTTTGAAACAAGTAAACTTCGTTTGCCTTTGGCTTATAAGGGGGAACATTCGATGTACGAGATGTTTCGGGATTTGTTAAAATATCTACTATTTCTGTTTGATGTAATACATCTGTATACATATAGACAATTGACCCACTATCCATTTTGATATTTTGTCTACTAGTAAGAGGCGCTATAATAGTAGCAACGCACAATATATTGTGATATCAGGCTCAATAAGACTGATAGTCGAGAATATCTAATTATTTATGTATTCATAAATAGATTTTCGACAACTGTCTTTAAAAAGACTGTGACATGCTTTTGAATAAAGCAATATATAGTAGCACTATTATCGATCTATTTATTTATGTATTTATAAATATATTTTCGACAACTGTCTTTAAAAAGACATTGTTTTGAATAAAGCAATATATAGTAGCACTATTATCAATCTATATATATATATCAATATGTATTTGAAAATTGTCTTTAAAAAGACATGCTATTAAACAATTTATAGTAGAACTATAATTTGTGCGATCTGAACTGGTTGAAAGTCAGAGCAGATATGACCGAACAATTGAGTAGTTATTACCAGAGACATATAATACAATTATATGTCTCTGTTATTACTAGGTGAGTTAAAAGTTAATCTGTAATCTTGAACTTTATCAAATTTCTTCTTTGATTGGATTCTAATTGCCAACTGATTATATAAGGTAATTCAATTAAATGTATATGATGTCTCAGGTGTGAAAACTTTAATGACATGTTATTTGGTTTGATTGGTGATTACGACAAGTGTCAAAATTAGATTAATCTAATTAAATATCAGTACTTCTAGAGTGCCGTGGTGAACTCACTCAAATCAAAATTTTGGGCTCAAAGTTTTTATTATAAAGTTTATATTTTCGTATAATATATATATTAATCTCACAGATTCATTAATTTCATGGACAGATATTACAAAGAAAAAAGAAGAGATATTAACACTTGTGTCGATCAGTTCAATATATTTAAAGCATATATCGGCGAATGTTAATTCTGTCCGGTCAACTTTTTTTGCAGAAAAACAATTTTTTTTACTATAAAGTTTTAATTTTCGTATAATATATTTATTAATCTCCAATATTCTTAATTTCATGGACAGATATGGTAAAATAAAAGAGATATTAACACTTGTGTCGATCAGTTCAATATATTTAAAGCATATATCGGCGAATGTTAGTTCCGTCCGGTCAACTTTTTTTGAAGAAAAACTATTTTTTTTTACTATAAAGTTTAGATTTTCATATCATATATTTATTGATCTCGTAGATTTCTTAGTTTCATGTAAAAATATTGTAAAACAAAAAAATTATAAACACTTTTTGTCGATCAGTTCAATATAATCAACGCGTACATCGGCGAATGTCAATACCGTCCGGTCAACTTTTTTGGCAGAAAAACATTTTTGTTTACTATAAAGTTTATATTTTCGTATTATATATTTATTATTCTCACAGATTCCTTAATTTCATCGACACATATTGTAAAACAAAAGAGATATTAACACTTGTTTTCGACCAGTTGAATATATGTATAGCGTGTATCGGCGAGTGTGAAATCCGTCCGGTCAACTTTAATTGCTCAAAAATAATTTTTTTCACTTATTTTGTTTTATTTTCATAAAATATAGTGTAATATCTCTAAGGTCTACAAATATTAAAAAAATCTACCGAATAACAAAAAAGTTATGACTATTTATATCTCATCCGGTCAATCGTCCTGTCACTATCCGGGCAATCGTCCTGTCATTAGTGCTTCCCTGAATTATAACCCTTTCAGAATTTCCGGTATGTATTTTGGTGGCATAACAATATCCTCAATGTATGTTTACTGACATGACTTTTCAGATTGCTTTAAGGGGGCATTTTTCATCTTACTATTTACCAAAGAAATATGTGCAATAGTTTTAGGGTTACACTAATGACTGGACCGAATGACAGGACCGAATGACAGGACCAAATGAAAAATGCTAATAACTTTTTTATTTTTCATAGGATTAATTTCAAATTTAAAATATAATAAGATTTCATCATTTAATATATAAATTTAAAAAGAAAAAATTATATTTTTTTTTCAAAAGCTTGCGAAAACGTGACCTGACCTACGATGACAATGACAGGACCAATATCGAGAATGACAGGACCAAATGAAAATGCTAATAACTTTTTTATTTCTCGAAGGATTTGTTTCAAATTTGAAATTTAATTAGATTTCAACATTTAATACATAAATATAAGAAAAAAATTATTAAAGCTTGCGAAAATGTGACTTGACCAACGTTGACATTGACCTGACCAATATCGACATGACCTGACCGATGAAAAGTCCTAATGTTCTGTTATTTAAATAACAAAATTAGAAAATTGTTAAATTTGGATCATGAATAACTAAGAAATTACTAAATAATCAGAAAAAAAATTTTTTTTTGGGGTAATAAACTTGACTTGACCAACTTACGTTGACTGTGTCATAATTAACCGTTATCATGACAAGGAAAGATGACTAATTACATATCTATATGTAAAAGTATTTACTTCAAATTTTTCGAAATATTAAGATTTAAACCATTCATTTTATCAAATTTAAAAACTATAAAAAAAATCCTCCTGATCAATGTTCTTATTATTTTCAAGTCCAGACTAATCTAAATTCAATTCTAAAGTCCAGATTAGTTTAATTCCTATATCAAATTTGTGTATAATCTAAATACTGATTCTGTAAAATAATTTTAACTGTTTTGCTAGCATTCTGCATGACATTTATAGTCATCCCAGGGTACAGGACGAGGACCTAGCTAGCAGTGTACCCCACCCTGAAATAAAGAAAAAATAAGTAGGATTACACATGCAAATAGATAATTAAAAATGTACTTGTAAAAAGAAGATATAAAAACTGAAAACTTTAAATTATAGATCACAATAAAAAAAACTACGTCTATGTTTGAAAGCATTTAAATCAAAATTATGTGATAGAAATTATCTTACCTAAAAAATAACTGAAAGGTAATGCATGTAAACTATTATCAAACATATTTACAAACGAACATTTATAGACTTTCGGGCAAGCTTAAATATTTTTTTTCTCAATTTTTTCTTATATTTATGTAAAACATGCTGAAATCTTATTGTATTTCAAATTTGAGATAAATCCTTTGAGAAATAAAAAAGTAATTAGCATTTTTTTTCGGTCCTGTCATTGTCGAGGTTGGTCCTGTCATTATCAGCGTAGGTCAGGTCACGTTTTCGCAAGCTTTTGAAAAAAAAAATATATTTTCTTTTTAAATTTATGTATTAAATGTTGAAATCTAATTAAATTTCAAATTTGAAACAAATCCTTCGAGAAATAAAAAAGTTATTAGCATTTTTATTTGGTCCTGTCATTCTCGATATTGGTCCTGTCATTGTCAGCGTAGGTCAGGTCACGTTTTCGCAAGCTTCTGAAAAAAAATATAATTTTTTCTTTTTAAATTTATATATTAAATGATGAAATCTTATTATATTTCAAATTTGAAATTAATCCTTTGAAAAAAATAAAAAAGTAATTAGCATTTTTTATTTGGTCCTGTCATTCGGTCCTGTCATTCGGTCCAGTCATTAGTGTAACCCATAGTTTTAAAATGAAATCAAAAAGATAAATCATATCAGACATGCCAGAGTCATGTACAAATGTATGAGGGTCATGAAAAATGTTTAACTACAACTAGTACATTGTAGTATCATAGTATAAGTACCTGTACTATCAGGAGACTGCCCTAGTGATGGACTTCTCTTAAAACTTATCTTTGGTGATAATGAACTCATTGTCATTCGCTCCATTTCTTTTAAATTGTTGAATGATGACATGTCGTGTCCAGATCTTCCAACTCCATCATTCTTTCATAAAAAAAGTAAAAAATAAACACACAAGAACCAATTACACTTTCAATCACAGCCTTATTGCCATAGCATCTGAAGTATTATACCAACCGACAGCAGAACAAGACAAAACCATTCAAATACTTACAGACATACGAACCACAAAGGAAACATATAAATAGTCATTTTTTCCGTGCACCATCATTCAGTGGAACATGCTACTAATAGCCACAGTACAGTCAACCACTGTTGACAGCTTCAGAGCACAAATTAAACAAGGTGTCCTCTGTCAACTGTTTTAAAAACCAGATACCAAATTTTGATCACTATTTTGTAAAATACATGCACTCATTGTGATATTTATATAATACCTATTTTTTTTTGGCATTTAAAGTAACTTTTAAATACCGTGCATGTGAAACAACAAGTATTCTTTAGGGAGCTACCATTTGATTTTTATGGGGGGGGGGGCTGAACACCACTGCACGTCTCCAATCACCTTAAAAATACCACAAAAAACACCTAAATATATTTTTCATTTTTATTTATATATTTGGCTTACCTTTGAACGAGGATAAATATGTAAATAAATATGTACAAAATAATAAGAAATAGTAACTGGATATCCTGAGAGCACCAAAAAATACAGTCCTGTTAAGAGCGCTGTTGTCAGAATTATTTATTAGTCTGTAAATTACATCCAAGTTTTCTTGATGGGTCTTGATGGGTCACTTCAAAACAATAAGAAGAGGGACTATGATAATACAAGTTGTCTCTTTAATTGATAAATTTTATAATTTAAACAAAATTTAACAAATTTTTCATTGTGCTTATCTAAAATTGAATAGAATGTTTGAGGTTGGTGGTCTTTTTGTGGTGTTTGGGGCTCATATGTCTTCCCTTGGACAGTTAATTTGTCAAATTTATACCAATCTGAACTCTAAATGACTCCACCTTTGTTCAGCTGTGGAATGCATAAGACTTATAAGAAGACAAAGTCCTCATCAAGAAGACAAAACTAGACAAATTTTGAAATCTGGAATATTTAGTAGTAATTTATGAAACTAACCTGACGTAGAAGGGTTTGCCATGTATATGCTTGTCTAAGGGGTAAGTCAGTTTTATATTTACTTCCTGGTTAACCAATTGACGACCATAAGCCCTGCATGTGTGGTTAACCCTACTAAGTTGGATTTACCATTAGTCAGTCAGGGGTACTACTTGTACAAGTAATTTTTATTTACTTGAAGAAGTAATTATAATATACTTATATAAGTAAATTTGTAGGATACTTATACAAGTGTATTTTATTTACTTGTATAAGTAAATTATTTTTTGGCCTAGTTATGTCCCTTACACATTCAGATTTTTTTACTTATACAAGTAAAAAAGTCATCCTATCTTCTTTTCTTGAATTCTTAGAACTTCTTTGCTCTAACAGAATTTTGAATTGTCTGTCCTTTGCAGATGTCTTTACTATTCATTTAAGTGTAATTTCATGGACAATGAAAATCTCATTTGTCTGTTATCTTTAGAACACTGCTCATTTACAAGCCCCCAAGGAGCAATTTTTGAAGGCCTTGCACAAATACTTAAGATCTTTGCTCAATCAGTTTCTTTGTTGAATTAATGAGATGAAACATTGAACTCTTATCAAAAATTATGAGCTAACCTGAGAAAAATTGTTAAAGGCATGATTTTACATCTCAAAACTTGAGAATTTTTGTGGGATTGTAAAAAAAATTTACTTATACAAGTAAATTTTTTTGAAAATTAAGGGGAGATTATTCAAACAATATAATTAACTTGTATAAGTATATTTTATTTACTTCTTCAAGTAAATAAAGATTACTTGTACAAGTAGTACCCCTGACTGTTAGTTTAAAGACCAAGACCTAATCTGATTTATTAAAATTTTCCAGTTTTTGGTTATTCACTGTTATAATATTAAAATGACTTATATAATGTTCTTTTTCAGGTGAAGTTAAATGCTATCTACCAGATTATTTTCAACTATAAGATCAGTTAAAGTAATGGAGTTGAAAGAAGTGGTAAAAAAGTTGAATCAGTTTGCTCCGACTTCACTGGCAGAGAAATGGGACAATGTTGGACTGTTAGTAGAGCCATCATCACCATTACAAGTACATATATATATATTTCATTTAAAATTTTTTTTTACAGAGATGAGAGATTGAACATATTTTATTAGATTGAATTTGTACTGTAAAAACATAAAAAAGATGCCTTTGTCCAGATACAAACAGTTTGACCACTAACTTTAATTAAGAAATAAAAGATGACACATTAATTGCTGCATACACTATTAATAATCCTAAATTAACATTGAATTAGTGAAAATTAATGCTTTCTTTGGGTAGTCAATTTTTATTGAAGATATCCATTAAATGGAGTTCTTATCAAAATAACAATACATTTAAAGTACTCATGATTTCTGAAATAAAACTTCATATATGAGTCTTTTATTAATGTCACTTAAATAATGTGTATATGTATGTTATTCCAGATTAAGAAAATCATGTTGACCAATGATTTAACTCCTCCAGTAATGGATGAAGCTGTTGCCATGGGAACCAATTTAATCATTTCATATCATCCACCAATATTTACTGGAATGAAATGTGTTACTCAGAAAACATGGAAAGAGAGAATTGTGACAACATGTTTGGAAAATAGAATAGGAGTTTTCTCCCCTCATACTAGCTATGATTGTGTTCAAGATGGAGTAAATGATTGGTTAATAAAAGCATTTGGTAATATATAATATGTAAATGATGTCAGTCAGAATTGTTGTGTTATAATAACAGTATGCTTATTAGTTTTCCAGACAGGAATTTTTTTATTTAGTATGTACATGATGTATGACTCACCAGAAGATTAATTTAATTTCAGTTTAGTTAAATCAGCTGTGTCATTAGAGATTATTTCATTTGATCACTATTCAAGGTCTCTGATAACTTTCTATTGAAGAGGGGGTAGATATGATAGGCTAGATGCAAGAGTGGGGAATAAGAATTTGACTTCAAGAGTAAAAAATAATAAACATTCATGTTTGAATCCTTCAAAAATAAACTTTCAAACAAAGACAAACTACAACAAGCAACACATGGTCTAGATACAAATGTGTACCGTTAAATTCGTTAAATAAGATTAATTAAAACAATAAGAAAAGTATAATAATTTTATTAACATTCTTTATTTTAATATGAAACAAATGAATATAATCAAAATGCTTTTCAACTTTCTCAACAATCTGAAAATAGAAATAAACATGTTACTGAGTGAGTTACAAAAACGAGTGAACATTCATTACTCTAAGGTCAGTAGAATGCATAATACATTTTCATCAGGGTGCGCTTTATATTCAGGTGAGTTTTATGTAAGGAAAAAAACACTTCTTCCCCCAAAAAACGGCTGTGCGCCTTATTTAGGGGTGCGTTTTATATTCCGGAAAGTACGGTAGTCTAATTTGGTCCAGACACAAAATGTTTAGTGGATAAACCAGTTGTATATGCACACAAACTTCCACTAAGCCTACCAAGACATTTTGTTGTAAAAGTAAAACAAACAATTAAAACCCTGCATAGGACAGCTACTTATAGCATATATATAACCACTTACTTTAACAAGGGAATAAAAGACTGCATTTAATTTGGAAAGTGGGGTCAACAATGGTCAAAATAGCTTGTTACTACATGAGGCTAGCTAAGGCAGTCATAGTTGTATGTTACATATGCTGCTGAAAAAGTATATGTGTAGTTACTTTTGAAAGGAAAAGCCTGGTTCAAGTCCATTTATAAATTTAGAAACTATTAAGAAACTAAATTTTTAACTCCCTTATGCAAACCACAAAATTGAACTTAGATGGATTTGGATATTATTTTTAGGTCCTTTTTGGTCATATAGCTCTTCAATTGTTTCTGTTATTATGCATCCTTGGCTTTCAAATATTCTACTTTGAGCGTTCCTGATGAAGGTTAATCTAGCAAAGTGCTTCAGACGCATGTTTATAGAGTGTGTTCACATTTTTTAAGGGAGATAATTCTTTAAATGAGTAATGTCTTTAAAAAAATCAGTTTTATCAATTTATTTAGGAGTGTTTACATGAAATAAAATTGATTAAATCTGTGTAACCTGAAAGCTTTTAGTATTTTTTCATGACAGGTTAATACAAACGTACCTGTAATTTTGAAGAGTTATGTCCCTTAAGTCTAGGTTTGTATCCTTAAGGTACAAAAAGGGTACCAGAATATACAAATCTATTGTTATTAACTGTATTTCAGATATTGTTGATGTCAGACCTATACAGCATGCAATGGAACTTCACAGTAACATGTCCAACAGTATAAGTTGTTGTGTACCGAGAAATCAATGTGACCAGTTACAGGAAGAGTTGTCTGGCATTCCTCATGTTAAATTACATACCCTTTCTGCGTAAGTTTTGTTATTGAAGTCAGGTATTATGCATAAATAAAAAGTAAATAAAAAATCATACTATTGAATTTTAAAAAGTAAAATTTTTGGCCACTGGGGCCCAACTCTTCCCTGACTTTATGCATTTAAGTATATTGTTATGTAGTGTGAAAATCAAGAATTTTTAAACATTTAGTATATAATCCATTCTTAATGTGTATATGAGCTATATGTCTTGAGTTATCTCCCATTCCCCCCCAAAAAATTTATTTACTTTATGTAAGAAGTTTAAACGAAACTGGTTGTCTCATTGGCAATCATACTACATCTTCTGATCTCCTGATTAAGTGATTTATATAAAACTTGGATTTTTTTACCAGACCTGTCAGAAAGTCTGAGAGACCTTCAAATCAATAAGCTAATGCTGCAAAAGTTTTCTGAAAGTTCATCTAGTTGGATGCTTGAATGTGCTGTTTTTTTTTAATTTGTAATTCTAGTGTACATTATAACGTGTCTTATAAATGGACATTTTCAAAAGAAATCATGGAAAAAAGGAAGAGGTGTTTATTGTTGAACCACTTTTTGAACCCATCGAATTGAAATTAAAAATAAAAGATCATCATAATACCATTCAAATGATAAAAAAATGAGTTTTCTGTATACTTTATATCTGTTAATGCAAACAGTCCCTGCTCTATTAATGGTACCCATATTAAGACTAAAAATGAATTTCAAATAGACTTTGAATTGTTGTGTACTTTAGCTCACAACTGTTGAGTAATGTATTTTCTTTTGACAATATCAATTTTGTACTTTAAACATGTAAATTAATGGGGTAGTATTATAATGTTCGTTAATAATGGTCATATACCAAAATTTCAGTTGACTTAATTATGACTTGACTGTAAGTGTTGCACTCTACCTATTGCAGTTCATTCAATATTCTGACCAAATTGCAATTTGTTTTATCAACCCAAATTATTTACAGTCTAGTCACAGTAATGATTGTAAAATTTGAGTGGTTTGGCACATTCATTGATGTCACAGGTTTGTAAACTTTTATTTTTATAAATGTTTCAAATTACAGTGAACCAATGCCTTGTAAATGGTTTCATGAAAAACCAGATTTTACAGAAATTTTATGTTAATTTTACAGTGACACAGATGACCAGATGATTACAGTTGGTTGTTCACAGAACAATGTTAGTAAAGTGGTAACTGTAATGAACAAATACACAGCACAGTTCATAGAGGTTAAACAGATGTCAAAGGTCAGTTAATATATGAAATGTTTGAATAGCTAGAAAATTTTCAGGCCTAAATTGTACTAAAAGTACTACAAACACAAAGGGGATTAGTTATTGATCACTCTTCGTGTTGAAGTTTTACTTTGAATGCTGTTGGCTGTGGGAGATTCGCACAGAAATATCTCCGTTACATTCAGTATGTAATAGATGTTCATAAATCAGAGTTATTACCTCAAATCAGAAGCAATCGCCCTGTTTGACAGTGAATCACTCAACCTCAGTGAGAGTAATTTTCATAGTATTTCTGTAGCAAACAAAACTTCTAAAGCAATATTATAGAAGGGTAATCCAATTTATTAGAAGAAAAAAAGAATCACAATGACCCAACATGATTAATATTTTATAATACTGTAATTTCAGTGATATTAGTTTTGGAAACAATTCACATAATTCTTTTGATTGTAAATTACCACAGGTTCCTAAAGCTGGTTATGGTATGGGAAGAATAGGGAAACTAAAGAACAAATTAACAGTAGATGAAGCAATACAGAAAGTCAAGTCACATCTACAACTAGGTTCTATTAGGATAGCTAAATCTCCAGGTAGGATAGCCGAGTAGTTACATCACATTAAAACATTTAAACCTATAAATTTTATTACTTTTCTGGTTAGATTAGTTGGAATCAGATTTCTCCCTTAAAAACCTATTGTTCAGTCAATGTCTATGGTATTAGCCATTTGAAGATTTTTGGCCAATAGCTTATCTGCAGAACTAATTGGAAATTAAAATGTTTCAATGAACACCATTTTGAACTAGGGTTGATGACCCTAACTGGCATTTAATATTTCTCCAATTATATCTTAAAGTAAAAATTTTGACAAAACAGTCCATAAACCTGCTAACTACTTTCTAGATTTTTGGAAATAATATAGTTTTGATTCTTTTCACAACAGCCATGCAACCAATCAAAATACTGAATTTGTTGTTTCGACTTTTGAGCACAAACTTTGTACTCCCGAGTACTGAGTATAGGTTTATGACCGAGAGCCTATATACTCCATGTCCATGTTTTATGGCTTTAAGAAGATTGAAAATAAATAAGGTTACCATGGTTGATGATTAAAAAAAAACTATCAGCATATGATAAAGATATGTTGCTCTCTCTTTGACTAATTACTCTACACCTCTATTTTCATGACCAAAGACTTTAAAATTAGTATTTCCTACTTCTCCTCTAAGCATGCTGCATTAAGGAGTAAGAGCAAAGACTTGTCGGCTCGGAGTCAGAATAATGTGTCCGGTAAGGTGACATGTCTTCCTGCAGACTGTTACCTTGTGAACTAGCACGTTAAAAATCCGACTCAGCGTGTCAGTCTAGTACAAAGCAGGGTTAATATTCATATTACATTAACATGTTCTCATCCTAAATATGCATATTAATTTCAGCTGAACGTTAAGCAGCCATCCATCATCATCATCTTTTTTCATGATTTTAAATTGCTTAACACCAGTCCTATCTCCATGACATCATTGGTCTCTGGTGAAGAGTTGTCTCATTGGCAATCATACCACATCTTCTGATTTTCATATTGAGGTTCACAAACATATTAATATCTGCCACATTCTTTATGTTACTGGCCAAAGCCAGAAACCTGAAATTCAATGGTTATCTTTGTTTTCTGTTTGCCAGATATTTTTTTCTGTCTTTGTTGTGGTATAAAGTAGGTTGTTTGTTATCTTTTTAATTGGTTAATATTTTACATACTGGGGCCTTTTATAGCTTACTATATTGTACTATATATGTAATAGATGTATTTACACTTGAATGCAAATTTGTGCACCATTACTTAAAATGGTAGAAGTTCCTGCAAAATGTTGCATCACATTTTTAAACATTTGACTTTGTGATTAAAAATTATTAATTAATTAAGTGATTGTTGAATGACTTTGGAAGGTTATCAGGAGACAGATCTAAGGACATTTGGAGACAATTAAGCTAAATACATCTTTTGCTCATTGTTGAAGGCTTGACAGAGATCTGTAATTGTTCACATCTTAGTCATTTTGATCTTAATAGATCGTTAGCAATCATACCACATCTCCTTATTTTTATATTGTTCTTTTATTCATATGAGGTAGACTTCATTCAGGATCTGTTTAGGAATAATGAAAAGTAGCTAGCATTATTCAGTCTTTTTGTGAAGGAGGGCATTGGTGTCTTACAGGAACATCCACTTGATAATTTTTTGCAAAATAAATGTCAGAAAAATCTGAGAACAATTTTTTTGAGTCTTTCTAAGATTTATTAACTACATGTTTAGACTCAATGGCAATTTAGAACTTGACATATATTATTTAGTCATTTATCTTTTGAAGTTTACTATTGGTTTGTTGCTGTTTCTGTGACATTAAACCCAAATATCCTTTTATTCGTAGGCATTTGAAAATTTGGTTTGAGTAGAGAACATTTTGTTTTTTCCATTTTGGAAATTTTTTCAAATAAAAATAACACTTTATAAATTTGTTTCAAACACACTGACATATTTTATCAACGCAAAATAAAGAACTAATTTCCAAATTTGTTTTTACATTGCAGATGCAAATAGTTTAGAGACTGTGGCAGTTTGTGCAGGGTCAGGAGGAAGCTTATTAAAGGATGTACGTGCATCACTGTATTTGACAGGTGAAATGTCCCATCACGACGTTCTTCATGCTGTATACAGTGGGACAAATGTGATACTATGTGACCATAGCAACACTGAACGAGGATTTTTAAAACATTTGAAAATGAGGCTTGAGCCTCAACTTCCTGGAGTAGACATTTTTGTATCTGCTGTTGACAAAGATCCACTAGAAATTGTTTGATTTACAATAAATCATAACTATATATATTTAGTCTTTATATATTTGATCAAGAATATCTGCCATTTGAATTATCTATAGGTTAAAGGAGTTTTTAGCTCAACTGTCTTAATTAAGGTGGGAGCTATTGCTGTCACTTTGCAACATTTGTCTGTCTGTGATTTGTTATCTATATGTTGTCTGAATCCCTCAGGCTTTTTAGGTTCCCTTTTGGTCATACCCTCCTTGGCTTCAAATATTTGGGTTTTGAGCAATGCACAAAATTATATCAAATGTTTTTTTCATTCTGTAAACTTAAAAAAAAATGCTTCTGAAATCATTAGACCCATTGAGATCTTTTTTAGGAGGGTGGGATCCAGAATTTTTGACGCAATATATAATTTGTTTGCGATGAAAGGGTGTTTGTAAATGAAGGTATGTGGTTGGCGTCCATTAGACTACAACCAAACAACGCAAATAACCAAAAGATAACCGAGACGTAAGTTACAGTTTTCAACAATACAGGTGGTTATTCCAAAAAGGCAAATTCTATATGGCCTAAAGTCTAAAAAAATGATAAATTAAAACAGGGATTTTCTATACTATAGTATAGACTGTCCCTGATTAAAAGGTGACTCAGAATTGGCATCAACATAGAATTCTCAAAATAACAAAAATGGCTAGAATTTGAGAATGCATTCATTTATACATTTTTCTGAAACATTTTCAAAAAGGGTTTTTGTGCATTTTTGTTTGCTTGTATATTTGTCATTGCCCCCTAAGGGACCTTGATTGGAATAAACACATATCATACCTGTCAACTGACCCGGATCCTGCGGGTGTGACCCCAGATTTTCACAATTCTGAGGGGTCACCTGGAACACGTGCCGGGTGACCAAATTACCCCGGGAATTCAGAAAATAACCCGTTTTCACCCAGATTCCTTAGCCTTCAGACTGATTAGATATAAAGTGCTTTCAATGAAATACCGGCAAATTCGTAATTCTTCCTGGACAAGAAGTTCAACTTGCTGTGTAAACTCAGCTTAATTGACCCATTTCAGTGCATGGCTTCACTTGACAGCTTTGGTGTCAAACACACTGTTAATTAACACCAATTACCTTAGCTTTAGGTCGTAATTTGTGTATTTCAAAGTTGTTTACAAAACAATTTGAGTTACTTCCCCTTTTTTGTCAATTCACAATATACTCCTTAAACTTATGTTTTTTTTTGTAAAAAGATTAAATCTAAAATGAATTGAATGCACAAACATATCAGAATAATACTTTTACTTTTTGTTCTACCTTAAAAAATTTGAAAATTACTTTTTTCATCTATACCTCTTTTAATTGTTTAACTTTATTTTATTATACTCTAATATCAACTTATGATAAGTTCTACTGTTTAAAAGCTGCACAAATGTATGTAAAGAAAACACAAATTGGCACATTGTATGTCATGGAATGAATATGAACAGGAATTAAGGCAATGTAACACAAATCTATCAATGGCCTTCAGGTGCAATTAAATAATAATAATTATGTACAATTTTAAATTACTTAACCATGTGAACATGTTTTGGAAACTTCTATATAAATTATAAGAAAAATGTCCCCTAAATACTGAAGTTCAACTCGAAAAAGTTCGTCCACATTATGACCTGAGATTTCATTCTTCTATGCAGGTCATCACCTGCATTTTCATTGTCATAGGTTGACAGGTATGACATATTGTATTGTATTGTATGCCATGAGGCATTATATTTTCCTGTCTGTTCATCTGTTAATCCCTTTATAAGTTTTGATTTGAGGTACATGTAGTTTAAAGTCTTATCAACGTGAAACTTAAAACACATGTTAATTATGAAGTTTTGACCTAGATTGCATGGTCCACTGAACAAGGAAATGTAAAAGGTTAAAAGCTTTGGTTTAAGGTAGTTTGTTTTAGATAAAAGTTGAAAAAACATGTTTGACGGAAAAACACATGCCCCACAACAGATGAATAGTCGATGCCTTACTATACCTTTGATCATTGTCGAAGACTGGACATTGAGCGGTAGTTGTTTACAACTTTGGATGCTCCATAAATTCGTTGACAATATGTACATATAACCAGAGACATATTTTTATCATATGGGACTGTCCGATATTACTGACAGTTTAGTTTAGAAAATTGTTCACATGTATTTAACAAAACAATTATCCTTATTACTGTCATTTATACTTTGAACAATGGACGAAGTTATTCCCATTACCAAATTGTCATTCAATGAAAATTTTCAAACTTTGGATGCATTTGAATCAAAACTAAAAACATATCAAGATTCAAATCTTATACAGTAATATAAACGAAGTTCGCGAAAAATTGGTGCATTAAAGGAAAGTTTAAACAAAACTATTGTGAACTTTTTATACGACCGCAAAAAATTTTGCGGTCGTATATTGGTATCACGTAGACGTCCGCGTCGTCCGAAGACATTTGGTTTTCGCACAATAACTTTAGTATAAGTAAATAGAAATCTATGAAATTTAAACACAAGGTTTATGACCACAAAAGGAAGGTTGGGATTGATTTTGAAGGTTATGGTCCCAACAGCTTAGGAATTAGGGGCCAAAAAGGGGCCCAAATAAGCATTTTTCTAGTTTCCAGACAATAACTTGTGGAATGGTGTATGGATCTCTCTGAACTTATACCACATGTTGGAAATTTGAATTGAGATTGGGGGTGGGGACAATTTGTTCTCAAGATTTCAGAAATTAAAAAGAAAATTTCTTCAAATATCTTTTTTTTTTGCAAAAAAGGAAAGAAAGGGGGGTGGGGTATGTAAATTATTTTTTTTTTGGGGGGGAGGGGGGTCAATTCGCAACAGCATAGTGTATTGCACAAAAGCAAAAAAATGAATATAAATTCAATCACATAACCAATTCAAATTCTTTGACTACAGTTATTCTGTGTCAGAAACCTATTATGTGTCAAATATTTAATTACAATCCAAATTCAGACCTGTATCAAGTGAGAATATTGCGTCCATTTTTGCCCCAACTGTTAGTTTCATGGTTGGACCTCTTCGGTCGTATCCAGCTGCGCTCGGCGAAGCAATTTATTTATGTTTGAATCCATGGTGGATTTAATTTAGTTTCAAAATCAGATGGAGTACGTCCAAACCAAAGGTAGGTTTCTTCCTATATAAATATCAATGGGTCATAATATCAATACAAGTTTTAATTGAATTGAATTCATGTGATAGCATTGTACTTCAAGTTCCCGCGTTTTTTCTCCAGATATCTTTTTTTATAAATACAATATGTGTGCATGATTGAACATTTCGAACTCTCTTACCTCGTTTTTGTTATGAAATTGTGTATATGTGACATAATATATTAGTATTCCCAGCAAACATTGAAATGCATTAACGTTAACGTAACAATAACACAACGTACCCATAGGCACAAATTCTGTTGCGTTCGCAAGTGCCTAATCCATCCTAACATTCGACAATTAAAAGTGTTCAACGTAACAACAGCTTTTTGTTATTGTTACGTTTTCAACGTTATCGTAGCCAGAGCTTTTAATATTGATATTCACTACACTGTAATTAAAATCGTAATAGAATTGACTGTAAGAGTAGGAGAACACCAGGTGCAGCTTCTAAAAAGTCTTGTATTTCTAAATAAAATTGAGAATGGAAATGGGGAATGTGTCAAAGAGACAACAACCCGACCAAAGAGCAGAAAACAGCCGAAGGCCACCAATGGATCTTCAACACAGCGAGAAAATCCCGCACCCGGAGGCGGGCTTCAGCTGGCCCCTGAACAAAAATGTGTACTAGTTCAACGAAAATGGACGTCACACTAAACTCCAAAACATATAAATGGACTAAAATCAAAAAACATACAAGACTAACAAACTAAAAGGCCAGAGGCTCATGACTTGGGACAGGCGTAAAAATGCGGCGGGGTTAACATGTTTTTGTGAGATCTCAGCCCTCCCCCTATACCTCTAGCCAATGTAGAATAAACAAACACACAGCAATACGCACAGTAAAACTCAGTTTAAAAGAAGTCCGAGTCCGATGTCAGAATAGGTAACAAAAGAAACTAAGCAAAATGACAATAATACATAAATTAACAAAGGAATACTAGCAGTTAATGACATGCAAGCTCCAGACCTCTATTAAACTGATTGAAAGATTATGTCTTCAGCATATGAAAATCAAGCACAATCCCTCCCGTTAGAGGTTTAGTATCATACCATCATAAAATATATGAGAAGAACATAACCCGTATCATGCTAAATAGCATGTCAATAACATATCAAATCGAAGTAGTAATTATAAATTAAAGAATTTGAATGTAAAACAAAAGAAAACAATGTTGTTGCTAGAAAAAAATGTCTGATCCGGCAATGCAAACAGTTGAATTGCTTAAAATGCTAAAAACTTATAATGTTTGATATATTTAATGAACAATTAATGGAATATAAACAAAATATTCACAGATCATGAAGCTTGCGTGTCTTGTAGACGATAATACGCACAATCTTCTCTTTAGCCTTGACAACCAAACTTTCGAAGACAATTACGATTTCTTCTAATCCTACAATATTGACACAACATGTCCACTGTTAAAGCAGTTGCTATTCTGGTAAAGGTGTTCGGATCAAGAGAAGCTGAAAAAATGAAAAATACTGCTCTTATGATTTTTATTTAAGAATGTTCCATATCAGATTCCTTTGCTTTGTTATGCCATTATGTGCTAGTGTGTTATACGATGTATGAACACTTTTAATATACACTTTATATCATGGAAACATGATCATTCAGAAAAAAGGTCCAGCAATGCAACTGCTGGATTTTGTTCTCACTTCGCTTATTAAATGCCTAAAAGTAATTTTGCAATGAAAAACCTGCAATGTGCTTTTCAAAAATCCTTCTGAATACCAACAGCACGTGACAAATATTATAATCATCATTAGATACTACAAGGTAAAATTCCATTGGTTTGTTCCATAAACAAGTTCAAGGATTTCCTAAGAATGCCCCCCCCCCCCCCCCCGGCAATAAGATAAATAAATAAATAAAAAAAAACAGAAAAAAGGTATACATACCGCATCAAATTTTGTATAGCAAATGCAAATTTAATTCAATAAATATGAATAAAACAGTATGATTTTTTCAAACTCACTTACATCTCGCACGTGGAGTGCGCTGAACTCGTCTGAGGGGTATTACGCCTTTTATGCCTGTAAAGGCAGGGAAAGAAATGTGAAGTATTTCAAAGCAAAAAATGAAGCTGAATTGATTTATATAAAAAGAATATATAATTTTGTGAAACAAAAATGTATTTCTATTGAAATACAAACTGCAAGTACGTCTTTAAACTACTGCGAAAATTTGTAGAGGCGAAATAAAATGCTACATTCTGCTTCAATAAATAGCAATAGATGTAGCAATTTCTGTAAGTGTATATTATTCAAACTAAAACGTGTCAGAGGAAAAGTGTTAGACTAATTGCTTTTCGGTGACGCTTAGAAATTTGTATTTCCCCTTTTCTCTTGGAAACTTTAGTTCAAATGGATACCCCTTTTTTCTTGGAAACTTTAGTTCAAATGGATATCCCTTTTTTCTTGAAAACTTTAGTTCAAATGGATACCCCTTTTACAAAAGGAAATCGACCGGAATCCCTTTAGATATTCTTACTACTTAACCTTCGAGTTGTTTAGGATATCTATTGATTAGGGAAAGAGATGATAAAATATCTTTAGAAATAAGAAGATGTGGTATGAGTGCCAATGAGACAAATCTCCATCCAAGTCACAATGTGTAAAAAATATCTTTGCACTTTTACAACGCTTTTTATTTATAACATTCTTTTTTAATTCAAGTATTTTTTCATGTATTCAAGCATGGATTTAAAATATTAAGACGGGTAAGATATAAAACCGTCTGAAATACACGGAAGCTTCAATTATTATGGTTTCTAAAATTGACAGAAGTTGAGAAAACAACCTATCAATCAATCTAAAACTACAACCACTTAACAATAAGTTTGCATTTTCTTAGGATTATATATAATCTAATTTATTAAAAAATATGCGTCTGTTTTCATATCTCATTTGATTTTCAGGAGTTATAATCGTGAAAAAAAAACTTTCAAAATATTTTTTTTTAATTCCAGCTAGATCAGATTCGTACCATGTATGCGTATATTTCCCCATTGAGTTCCCAATCGAACTCCTGTCTCTCCCCGACCACAAACCATGAAGTTAGTGTTCCAATAATACCAAAATAATGAAATAAGTCTACGTACTAGGTACTGTACAGAAAACTTCCCGACACGTCTGTTGTTTCTTCTGGGCCCTGAACCTAGTGCATGAGTTGCATCTTTTACGATTTTTCAAATTCTTTCTGGTCTTGTCAGCTGTGGAAATAAAAAAAAAATCTTCGTATGCAAACAAAACATTGACAATAAGTTTACTAGATCTGAATCGATACAGGTTAAAGCAAAGCAATGAATCATACAGCTGCATATCATTTTTATCAGTCGATTTTAAACATTCGATTTGCATCTCAATGATCACATACCAAACTTTCGATTTATGACTCATATCTTAAGTTACATCTAGAAACTGACGATGAGAGTCGATTGAAAACATAACTTTACGACAAAAGAGATGATTTCAGCTTCCCAATTGTGACCTTTCCATTTCTATGTAGCAACATTCCAGCAGCGCCTACATACGGAATATATATCTTAGATGATACGATATTCCAGGGCTTGTATTTCCTATCATGATTTCCTTGATAGAGGGTTGCAGCTGCTCACTAGAAAGTTATTAAATCAAGAGTTCCAAGTAGTAAATTTAGCGGGCGCCATCACGATTGGTTGACCGTTATTGAATATCTGTTTCACAGATGACGACGGATATGTTCCAACAGACGTAATTACAATCCCATCCCCTTTTCCCCGAATTTGACCTACCCAATTAGACTTATCCCCGGGTTTGTACTAACATGAGCAACACGACGGGTGCCACATGTGGAGCAGGATCTTATTACCCTTCCGGAGCACCTGAGATCACCCCAAGTTTTTGGTGGGGTTCGTGTTGCTCAGTCTTTATTTTTCTATGTTGTGTTTTGTGTACTGGTGTTTGTCTGTTTGTCTGTTTGTCTATTTGTCTATTTGTCTGTTTGTCTGTTTGTCTGTTTGTCTTTTTCTTTTTTAGCCATGGCGTTGTCGGTATCTTTCGCCTCTCTTTTGGATATTTGTCCATATTTTTGGTTGTTTAATGAGCATGTCCAACAATTTTTCCAAATTTGTCGAATAATAAATGTTAATGGGGATAATTGACAGCTTATCACGACTTCATAAGTTTGCCGTCTAGATAGAGACCATGAACCAGTTTCATTTGTATTCAGTTACATGCGATTGTTGAGTTTTTGGTGGGGTTCGTGTTGCTCAGTCTTTAGTTTTCTATGTTGTGTTTTGTGTACTATTGTTTGTCTGTTTGTTTGTCTTTTTCTTTTTTAGCCATGGCGTTGTCAGTTTATTTTCGACTTATGAGTTTGAATGTCCCTTTGGTATCTTTCGCCCCTCTTCTTGAATATTCCAATGACAAGCCTTGGAGAGTTTTTTTAAAAATACTTAACATTAATTTTATTCACCCCCCCCCTCCCCCCATTCAACTCGTATACCACAATATATTAGAAAAAGAGAGGCGAATTGATGAAAATTTTCAAACTTTGGATGCATTTGAATCAAAACTAAAAACATATCAAGATTCAAATCTTATACAGTAATATAAACGAAGTTCGCGAAAAATTGGTGCATTAAAAGCAAAGTTAAAACAAAACTATTGTGAACTTTTTATACGACCGCAAAAAATTTTGCGGTCGTATATTGGTATCACGTAGACGTCCGCGTCGTCCGAAGACATTTGGTTTTCGCACAATAACTTTAGTATAAGTAGATAGAAATCTATGAAATTTAAACACAAGGTTTATGACCACAAAAGAAAGGTTGGGATTGATTTTGAAGGTTATGGTCCCAACAGTTTAGGAATTAGGGGCCAAAAGGGGCCCAAATAAGCATTTTTCTAGTTTCCAGACATAACTTGTGGAATGGTGTATTGATCTCTCTGAAATTATACCACAAGTTTCCATACCACAAAGGGATGGTAAAAATTGGCTTTGGGGGGTTATGACTCAAACCGTTTAGGAATTAGGGGCAAAAAAGGGGGAAAAACAAGGGTGTCCTGGTTAATGGACAATTACTTAAGTACAAAACATAATTTAAAAGCAGTGTAAGGGAAGTAATTCAAACACAACATTTTGAATTACCCCTCTTACACTGCTTTTAAATTTGGTTGCAAACTCCATAGGAAATTTGAATTGCGATTATGACCATATCTTGAGGGAAAGAATTTTTTTTAAAAAAGGGGGGGGGGGGGAGGTTAAAAAAAATTGGGGGGGTGGGGACAATTTGTTCTCAAGTTTTCAGAAATTAAAAAGAAAATTTCTTTAAATATCTTCTTTTTTTTTTGCTAATTCGTCAATTCGCAACAGCATAGTGTATTGCACAAGAGCAAACAAATGAATATATATTCAAATCACATAACCAATTCAAGTTCTTTGACTACAGTTATTCTGTGTCGGAAACCTATTATGTGTCAAATATTTAATTACAATCCAAATTCAGACCTGTATCAAGTGAGAATATTGTGTCCATTTTTGCCCCAACTGTTCAGGGTTGGACCTCTGCGGTCGTATCCAGCTGCGCTCGGCGAAGCAATTTATTTATGTTTGAATCCATGGTGGATGTAATTTAGTTTCAAAATCAGATGGAGTATAAATATCAATGGGTCATAATATCAATACTGTAAATTCAGAAATTATTGCGTGCATTTATTATTGCGATTTTTGTGGAAAGGACAAAAATGCGAGATTAATTATTGCGATTGCATGAAAATCTGCATACAGTTATTTATATCAGATATCAGAATGCGAGTTCTTATTATTGCGATACTCACTCAATCGCATTATTCGCATTAATAAAAACCTCGCAATAATTTCTGAATTTACAGTACACGTTTTAAATGAATTGAATTCATGTGATAGCATTGTAGTTTAAAGTGACACAGACTTCAAGTTCTCGCGTTTTTTGTCCAGATATCTTTTTTAATAAATACAATATTTGTGCATGATTGAACATTTCGAACTCTTTTACCTCGTTTTTGTTATGAAATTGTGTATATGTGACATAATATATTAGTATTCCCAGCAAACATTGAAATGCATTAACGTTAACGTAACAATAACACAACGTACCCATAGGCACAAATTCTGTTGCGTTCGCAAGTGCCTAATCCATCCTAACATTCGACAATTAAAAGTGTTCAACGTAACAACAGCTTTTTGTTATTGTTACGTTTTTCAACGTTATCGTAGCCAGTGCTTTTAATATTGATATTCACTACACTGTAATTAAAATCGTAATAGAATTGACTGTAAGAGTAGGAGAACACCAAGTGCAGCTTCTAAAAAGTCTTGTATTTCTAAATAAAATTGAGAATGGAAATGGGGAATGTGTCAAAGAGACAACAACCCGACCAAAGAGCAGAAAACAGCCGAAGGCCACCAATGGATCTTCAACACAGCGAGAAAATCCCGCACCCGGAGGCGGGCTTCAGCTGGCCTCTAAACAAAAATGTGTACTAGTTCAATGAAAATGGACGCCACACTAAACTCCAAAACATATAAATGGACTAAAATCAAAAAAACATACAAGACTAACAAACTAAAAGGCCAGAGGCTCATGACTTGGGACAGGCGTAAAAATGCGGCGGGGTTAAACATGTTTTGTGAGATCTCAACCGGCCTCCCCCTATACCTCTAGCCAATGTAGAATAAACAAACACACAGCGATACGCACAGTAAAACTCAGTTTAAAAGAAATCCGAGTCCGATGTCAGAATAGGTAACAAAAGAAACTAAGCAAAATGACAATGATACATAAATTAACAAAGGAATACTAGCAGTTACCGACATGCAAGCTCCAGACCTCTATTAAACTGATTAAAAGATTATGTCTTCAGCATATGAAAATCAAGTACAATCCCTCCCGTTAGGGGTTTTGTATCATACCACCATAAAATATATGAGAAGAACATAACCAGTATCATGCTACATTTGTAAATAGCATGTCAATAAAATAACATATCAAATCGAAGGTGTAATTATAAAGTAAAGAAGAAAAAAATGTCTAATCCGGCAATACAAACAGTTGAATTGCTTAAAATGATGCAAACTTATAATGTTTGATATATTTAATGAACAATTAATGGAATATAAACAAAATATTCACAGATCATGAAGCTTGCATGTCTTGTAGACGATAATTCGCACAATCTTCTCTTTAGCCTTGACAACCAAACTTTCGAAGACAATTACGATTTCTTCTAATCCTACAATATTGACACAACATGTCCACTGTTAAAGCAGTTGCTATTCTGGTAAAGGTGTTTGGATCAAGAGAAGCTGAAACAGAATGAAAAAATACTGCTCTTATGATTTTTATTTAAGAATGTTCCATATCAGATTCCTTTGCTTTGTTATGCCATTATGTGCTAGTGTGTTATACGATGTATGAACACTTTTAATATACACTTTATATCATGGAAACATGATCATTCAGAAAAAAGGTCCAGCAATGCAACTGCTGGATTTTGTTCTCACTTCGCTTATTAAATGCCTAAAAGTAATTTTGCAATGAAAAACCTGCAATGTGCTTTTCAAAAATCCTTCTGAATACCAACAGCACGTGACAAATATTATAATCATAAAACCAAGAATCATTAGATACTACTAGGTAAAATTCCATTGGTTTGTTCCATAAACAAGTTCAAGGATTTCCTAAGAATGCCCCCCCCCCCCCCCGGCAATAAGATAAATAAATAAATAAAAAAAAAACAGAAAAAAGGTATACATACCGCATCAAATTTTGTATAGCAAATGCAAATTTAATTCAATAAATATGAATAAAACAGTATGATTTTTTCAAACTCACTTACATCTCGCACGTGGAGTGCGCTGAACTCGTCTGAGGGGTATTGCGCCTTTTATGCCTGTAAAGGCAGGGAAAGAAATGTGAAGTATTTCAAAGCAAAAAAATGAAGCTGAATTGATTTATATAAAACGAATATATAATTTTGTGAAACAAAAATGTATTTCTAGTGAAATACAAATTGCAAGTACGTCTTTAAACTAGTGCAAAAATTTGTAGAGGCGAAATAAAATGCTACCTTCTGCTTCAATAAATAGCAATAGATGTAGCAATTTCTGTAAGTGATTATTATTCAAACTAAAACGTGTCAGAGGAAAAGTGTTAGACTAATTGCTTTTCTGTGACGCTTAGAAATTTGTATTTCCCCTTTTCTCTTGGAAACTTTAGTTCATATGGATACCCCTTTTTTCTTGAAAACTTTAGTTCAAATGGATACCCCCTTTTTCCTTGAAAACTTAAGTTCAAATGGATACCCCCTTTTTCCTTGAAAACTTTAGTTCAAATGGATACCCCTTTTACAAAAGGAAATCGACCGGAAGCCCTTTAGATATTCTTACTACTTAACCTTCGAGTTGTTTAGGATATCTATTGATTAGGGAAAGAGATGATAAAATATCTTTAGAAATAAGAAGATGTGGTATGAGTGCCAATGAGACAACTCTCCATCCAAGTCACAATGTGTAAAAAATATCTTTGCACTTTTACAACGCTTTTTATTTATAACATTCTTTTTTAATTCAAGTATTTTTTCATGTATTCAAGCATGGATTTAAAATATTAAGACGGGTAAGATATAAAACCGTCTGAAATACACGGAAGCTTCAATTATTATGGTTTCTAAAATTGACAGAAGTTGAGAAAACAACCTATCAATCAATCTAAAACTACAATCACTTAAACAATAAGTTAGCATTTTCTTAGGATTATATATAATCTAATTTATTAAAAAATACGTGTCTGTTTTCATATCTCATTTGATTTTCAGGAGTTATAATCGTGAAAAAAAAACCTTTCAAAATATTTTTTTTTAATTCCAGCTAGATCAGATTCGTACCATGTATGCGTATATTTCCCCATTGAGTTCCCAACCGAACTCCTGCCTCTCCCCTACCACAAACCATGAAGTTAGTGTTCCAATAATACCAAAATAATGAAATAAGTCTACGTACTAGGTACTGTACAGAAAACTTCCCGACACGTCTGTTGTTTCTTCTGGGCTCTGAACCTAGTGCATGAGTTGCATCTTTTACGATTTTTCAAATTCTTTCTGGTCTTGTCAGCTGTGGAAATAAAACAAATCTTCGTATGCAAACAAAAGATTGACAATAAGTTTACTAGATCTGAATCGATACAGGTTAAAGCAAAGCAATGAATCATACAGCTGCATATCATTTTTAGCAGTCGATTTTAAACATTCGATTTGCATCTCAATGGTTACATACCAAACTTTCGATTTATGCCTCATATCTTGAGTTACATCTAGAAACTGACGATGAAGGTCGGTTGAAAACATAACTTTACGACAAAAGAGATGATTTCAGCTTCCCAATTGTGACCTTTCCATTTCTATGTAGCAACATTCCAGCAGCGCCTACATACGGAGTATATATCTTAGTTGATACGATATTCTAGGGCTTGTATTTCCTATCATGATTTCCTTGATAGAGGGTTGCAGCTGCTCACTAGAAAGTTATCAAATCAAGAGTTCCAAGTAATGAATTGAGCGGGCGCCATCACGATTGTTTGACCGTTATTGAATATCTGTTTCACAGATGACGACGGATATGTTCCAACTGACGTAACTACAATCCCATCCCCTTTTCCCCGAATTTGACCTACCCAATTAGACTTATCCCCGGGTTTGTACTAACATGAGCAACACGACGGGTGCCAAATGTGGATCAGGATCTTATTACCCTTCCGGAGCACCTGAGATCACCCCAAGTTTTTGGTGGGGTTCGTGTTGCTCAGTCTTATTTTTCTATGTTGTGTTTTGTGTACTGGTGTTTGTCTGTTTGTCTATTTGTCTATTTGTCTGTTTGTCTGTTTGTCTTTTTCTTTTTTAGCCATGGCGTTGTCGGTATCTTTCGCCTCTCTTTTGGATATTTGTCCATATTTTTGGTTGTTTAATGAGCATGTCCAAGAATTTTTCCAAATTTGTCGAATAATAAATGTTAATGGGGATAATTGACAGGTTATCACGACTTCATAAGTTTGCCGTCGAGATAGAGGCCATGAACCAGTTTCATTCGTATTCATTTACATGCGATTGTTGAGTTTTTGGTGGGGTTCGTGTTGCTCAGTCTTTAGTTTTCTATGTTGTGTTTTGTGTACTATTGTTTGCCTGTTTGTCTTTTTCTTTTTTAGCCATGGCGTTGTCAGTTTATTTTCGACTTATGAGTTTGAATGTCCATTTGGTATCTTTCGCCCCTCTCCTTGAATATTCCAATGACAAGTCTTGGAGAGTTTTTTAAAAATACTTTACATTAACTTTATTCTCCCCCTCCCCCCATTCAACTCGTATACCACAATATATTAGAAAAAAGAGAGGCGAAAGATACCAAAGGGACATTCAAACTCATAAGTCGAAAATAAACTGACAGCTTAGAACTGTAGTCAATTTTATGCCTATAGTCTTATAACAAATAATTGATTAAAATCGTATTATTTCTGAGTGAAATTTTCTTATACGTGTACAGTACTATTCTTTTAATCATACAAAATGTAATTATTATTTCAGGTTTTAAAACGTTTACTTAAAATGTTTCCTATAATGTTTTTTGTTTGTTTGTTTAATTCGCAATTAGGGTTTATCAATGTCTATATGCAGAACATATTGCAATAATCCATACATATTTTACACTAGTAATTTTTTGGGGCCCTTTATAGCTTGCTGTTCGGTGTGAGCCAATGCTCCGTGTTGAAGGCCGTACCTTGAACTATAATGGTTTACTTTTATAAATTGTAACTTGGATGGAGAGTTGTCTCATTGGCACTCATACCACATCTTCCTATATCTATATATTATTTCTTCGTAAAACCTTACTGCTGCAAAATAACTTTAGACACAGCTGGAAGTTATCCCCTTTAAAGAATCGTCTACAATCACGACATTTTCTAATATCAGCCCGGGTGTCTGAAAAATTAAAAAATACAACATATATAATTAACAACACAGGATAAAAAACAAATAATAAAAAAAAAAGATTTTGGTAAGAAATACGAAACAATTACAAAGGAATTTTTAATGCATTGAAAATATCGTTAACTATTAGTTTATACTATAAATGTTATTTCAAACTAGACATTCTTCTAATTTAATTCTTAAACATGTTAAACGAACATTTATGTAAGTTTGACCACACATGATTTAAAGGAACCGTTGGATGTAAATCATCATTGAAGCACGTAATAAGTTTGAAAAATTCCATTCTATTTTTCTGTACTTCAAACCATACAATTTACTCTGTTGCCAAAGGCACACAACATTGAAATACTTACTCATGTAGTACTCAGGATTCTCAAATTGTAATTAGTATCACAAAACAGTCATTCAGAAATAGCACATATTAAATGTTAACAGTATCACTTAGAAAAAATAAAAGCTTTTGTTTCTTAAGCTTAATATTTCTTGAAACATAAAGGGTGGAATAGGATCTGCGTACCTTTCCGGAGCATCTGAAATCGTTCCCGATTTTTGGTAGGGATCGTGTTGCTCGGACTTTAGTTTTATATATATGTAGTGTTTTGTGGACTTGTCTGTTGTTTCGCATTTATTCTCTCGTTTGTTTTTGTATGGCGTTGACAGTTGCTCTTTGACTGATGAGTTTTGAATGTTTCCTTGGTATATTCCGCCTCTTTATTAAATTATGCCGCGTATGTATAGATTGAGTGTATGCCTCCAGGATGTTACAATGCGTTTAAATATATCAACGAACGATCGAATGGTAACATATTAAATATTTTGTACTCAAGTTCCGTCGTAAGCATTTAATGGACAGCGGTATTTTTATGCTCTGTGTAACCTTGCGATACTACACTTTTTTTCCAATACACTAACTCAAAGGTAAACAAATGGGCCGCGTCTGATATATCCTGGTTCCCGTGACTACGTTCCTGCGACACTTTTCACAAAAAATCTTACGATTAAAATTGATCGTAAGTTATACTGAAATGTGTATTACTTATGAGTATTTTTACTCTTAAGATTTTTTGTGAAAAAGACCGCAGCTATTAGCTGATAGCCATACACTGTCACGTTATATTTGTATATATATATGTGTAACATACTGAATATTGCGATCGGGAACCAGTCTACGTCGGATAGAAATCGACCTTATGCAAATGAATACTTATCATATCTGTAAACCTATTTCGCGTTGAAAAATCTCTATTGAAATTCTGTAACTATTCGAAAATTGAGCTTTTGTAAGAAAATCTACAAAACAGACCAAAAGTCATCTTTTATTTCGTATTTGAATTTAAAAAATCAATCAAAGCCTCATACATGTACATGTATACGTGCATTTGCATAAGGTCGATTTCTATCCGACAGAGCTCAAATCATGATTTTCCTCTCGTACATGTACTCACGTTTGCTTATCAGTGACTATTTTGTGAATTGTAAGGATACCAAAACTGTAGACATATATAAAACGCTATTTTGAAATGAATTGAGAAACGAGATATCCTCATTGATGTTGGTCAGATGGCTTACATGGCTGCATTGGCATTAGCGACAGTGTTCCCATTTAAACCATATAGAAAAACACAATTTCTCTTCCTGTCTACACAAACAGGCATGGGTCAATTTCAATCAAACCTTGCAAGAATATAGTTAGTAAAAAAACCTTTTACATATGCCCTTCGTTTGATTACGATCTAATAACAAACATGTCTGCCAGAGGCATTTTGTACTTTTATTGGCTAATCAAAAATATTTTCTCTTCAAACTCGAAGGCGAAAATTTTGAAACTTCAGGGGAATGATGAAAACAAAGCCATTCGATGGCAAAGTTAAATTTGTCAGAAATTAATTTCTCTTCAGCAATACAAAAGTTTTGTCATGTGAGCGTTTTATTTTCAAAGAACCTAAACATCAGGCCTTCTTACCTTGTTTAGCTCCATTCTTCGGCCTTCTTCCTTGAGCAATAAAAATTGGTAGCATAACCAATAAACAAATGACGACGAATTGCTGCATCTTGCGTCCACAATAATTTTGTTGTTATAGTGTGTAAATTAGAAGTTGTTTTTACACCAGTTTAAGACAGATAAAACTGACTATGATAGATGGTTAAGTGCGAACAAGAGTTCATGTTTTGTCAATATAATATAATGTATTATTCATTGTTTCGTAACTGTCAAAAGTGAAATGAAAAGGTATACATATACATGTATTTAAACGTACAAATTGATACAAAAAATGAAAATTTAAAAAAGAAAGACTGATTACCCCCCAAAAAAATTAAATAAATTAGAGACGTTGTATTTCCGTCACTGAGGCATACAACCAATAGTTACCACTGGCAAAGGTCTAAAAGGTCAAACTGAAAGTGCGTAATACAACATTTTACAAAGGTCACACGTCTTTGTATTATTCACGCTTTGACTTGAAGCACAATCTAAAAATTTACATGCGATGAGAACATATTTTATTGTTACTTTGGTTTTAATTGCAAAAAATATATGGCGAGATACTGACATAACAGATATGTTTCCATTGTTCAATTGATGAGACACAATGCATCAATTTCAATTGTTTTGAAATTCTTTCCTCCTTAAATAGAATATGTAAATAATAAGAATGGATGGTACTACTTAATGTGCCCTGTCATAACTTATAACTTAATGTGCCCTGTCATAACTTATAAGCAAGGATGTATTGTCCGTTCCAATTGTCACACTTGTTTCCTATTTTAGTTTTTGAAACAACACTTACTTGTAATGGTATGGACTAGTTGGGGGTATCTTTTTACTTAGCACCGTATAATAATTCTTTATTCTTTATTTTTTGCTATTTTCTGTTTTCTTTATTGTATTCGCCCATTTTGCTTTATTCTGTAAACCCATATTCAGGGGTTCTATTCACAAAAAAAAAACCTTGGGACTAAGGTTGATCGTAAGTTATACTGAAAAGTTCATGACTTACGAGATTATAGGCAAAAAGAGTCACAGACTCGCACTTATAACAAATAGTGTTTTGTTTGCATATATGTTATTGCATTTATAGCAGGAGACGCTTATCCTTCGACGCGCCGTTCTTGCTCAATTTTTAGTTCATATGATCCACTCAGATTTTGTTTCTTTTTTTGCGGGTGGAATACAAATACTGGACGTCCGTCCGGTCCTCCGTCAGCCGGATCTTGTAAGCTCTCTCACGTGCATAATTTCTTGCCAGATTTTGGCCGAAATGCCAGCTTGTTGTCAAATTTATATCAAATGTTTAAATCAACAATGTCTCGGACATATTCGAAAATCAGTGCCGATCAACTATTTTATAAACAGTTATGTACCTATGAAATATCAATTATATGGAAAATTGAATTGTAAGCGCTCTCACGTGCACAATACTTGTCAGATTTTTATTAAATTTATATTAAATTTGTGTATATCAGTAATTTTTCTGACAAGTTCATAAATCAGTGCCGATCAGCTTTTTTAAAAAGAGTTATAAAATGCCCTTGAAAATATTTATTACGTGGCAAATTGCATTGTGTATTTATTAATTCAAGAGTATACATAATACTTTTCCGTCGAGTGGACTATAGCTATTACTAGTAAACATCTTTTGCTGATATACTGTCTATATGAATGGATGGCTTGTTGAATTTTAACGCCACTTTCAGCACTATTGGCTATATTGTGGCAGCAAGTTTTCATTATGGAGAAAGCCGGATTACTGGGATAGGACCAACGACTCTCGGTAGAAACAATGGTAATCATAGTCAATTAAGTTCCTAGTCGAGCGCACTCGAACTCACAACACCAGTGTTGTCAAAGTAGTGACTACTAATACTACTCGGCCAACTAGGTCTCTCCTGTTATTCATAATTGTATATAGATAGCCTGTGTTTTCATGCATATACCTAAAATAATATCATTTTTGTTGAACTTCAAATTGAAAAATGTCAGTGCTTTAATTTTGGTTTGACGTGTTTTTCTTCATTTACTGATTGACTATGTTTTATTTATTTTTTTTGCCTTTCTTAATGTATTGGTTTATTTTGTGACCATTTTATGCTTTACATTGCATTTTGATTGTGTTGGTTTTGTTGTATTGTCCAAATCATCATCATCATCTTATTTCAGCGTTCTATTGCTGATGTTTTTGTACACGATTCAAAATAATATTTGAACAAAATAATCATTCTCAAATCTAACCTGTATGTTTTTCATATAAGTTATGCCGATCTTCAATTTTAAAGTGAATAATTATGTCCTCTGAAATGATTTTTTAGAGAACTATAGCGACCGTCAATGTTATATCAACTCTTCAACCATTAATTTTTTGTATTATATTTTAAATTTTCAAATATTTTGGCCCCGAGCATTATCGAAGAGACATTAACTGTTGAAAATGCGCATCTGGTGCAGTAAAAATTGGTTCCGTTTATGTTATTAAAATGTAAGATTTAATTGCTTCATTGCACTTTTTATTGTTACGCACAACACGTAATGAGGATTATGATAAGTTGTTTTGATTAAATATGAAGTTATATGATTTTATCATCTGTTGTAAAAAGATTTATTCCACTGATAAAATGAAGAAAAAAAAACCAAACAAACAGGAAATCATGATTCTTCCGTTTGAAAGAAGTCCAGATTTTCTGCGTACATAGCACCTATTACCCGTCGCTGTGTACTCGAAAACGCATTGTACTGTTTGATTTTCTGGACAAAGTATCCACTGTAATTAAATACTGTTAGTTTTATATCGTGTGAAATTTTATATTTAACTGGTATTCTATGTTCCTTGTCTAATGCAATTTGAGAAGGTTCTTGTCAGTGTGAAGTTTATGTAAGGACAATGCTATTGTTAAAATCGTTCCAACAGGACATTTAAAGTTTATATGTTTAATATTAGAATAGAACTAAAGTATACGTTTTTTTGGCAAAGCTCACAAATTGGTACTCTCCCGCAATGCAAAGTCGTGGCATTATTATATGCTGAAGATTCTGAGAAAGTTACACAAACATTTGTCGTCAAGTAGTTACGGATGCATAAGAGAAAGGGAAGACGAAAGGACGACCGAACGTCCTCCGTCCTCACTTTATTCCATCGACTTCAGAAAGCAAGGGTATACTATAATAGAGACGGCATCAATTGTTTTATGCCAATAGTTCATGATTATCAGCGGTACATAGTGTAAAAATATGAAATATATTTTCTCTGAAACACTATATAGTTAATATCATCCAGAATTTGTCTACTGCTATGCAAAGGAAGCTGAGTTACAAATATTTTATGTTTTATATCAATTTTCGGTATCTGCAAAATTTGAAAAAATTAGTAATGTTTAACTTTTTATCAAGAACATATTCATCATTTGAACAATATACATATACATGTAAATATTACATGACGATGATGGATGGATGTTTTTAAAACGTCGTCAGTGACGCTCGAATAAAAAAAAGTTAAGAAGGCCAATTAGAGTATAAAGTTGAAGAGCATTGAGGACCCAAATTCCAAAAGATATTGCCAAATACAGCTAAGGTAATCTATTCCTAGGGCAAAAAATCCTTAGTATTACGCATAATTCAAAGTTTTGTTAACAGTTACTTTATAATTATGACCGTATCAATAATAACACATAACACAAAACATAAAAGTGTTGACTACTGAGCTGTAGGTAGCCCCGAGGAGGAAACCACCACCAGCAGTGACCTATATTTGTGTGCTATATTCCTATGATCTTTTATCCTTAAATCTTATTCATAATGATTCAGAATTATCATGCATATAAACAAGCAGTAGAATACGTTATAGCAATTCGAACCCAAATCAAGATCATGATCATGATTGATGGTTGCTTGATCATCTGAAGTATTATTAGGACCTGTGATATGATCATCTGATGGATTGTTAGGACCCGTAATTAGATTGAATTTTAAGATTGGTTATTTAAATGATTTTGTTTAAAATAAGTAATAAGGGGTTCCAAACGTAAGAGTGAGAAACAATAAGCATTGTTTGAATAAGATGTGTGAAAACATATTTAAGATATGTAATCTTTCAATTTTCAACGTGGGACCTGTTATATTATCATCTGAAGGATTATTGGGATCCTTAATTATATTGAATTCTGAGATTGATTATTTTATGATAAATTGTTAAATAAGTAATAAGTTGTTCACACACGGGCAAATGATTTTTTGCTTTAACGGTCTGATTATTCGTTTTTTTAAAGGTTTAGTAACCAAAAACAAATCGGTTTACGTTAAAAAAAGTTAAAAAAACAATTATAACAGTTTAACAGAACTCGATTACGAAATTTTCCATAATGAATCGGAATGATGTTCTTTTTCATGCAGAAGAACAGATTTCACGGAAGGAGAGAGGAAAACGTTAAAATGTGGAATCTGTACAGCAGAGGTCCGAGGAATTTTAGTTGCTGATTATCAGTAATTGAAGAATTTATTCATAAAAAAAAGAAAAGGTACATGTAATTCACTGTTATATTAAATCCCATAGTTTAATCCATTTCGAGACAATCGTCAATTTTAATTTCATCACTTTTTTGTTCTTTTTTAAGTTGTTATATGTTTTGTGTTAATTTTTGTTAATTTTTTCAGGAAACTTGGTCAATAATACTTTCTGTAAGATGTGTAACACAAAGTTTACTAATACAAGAAACAGAAATCGTCATGAAAAAAGGTGTCAAGGAAAAGTTGATAATAATGAGTTAACATTTTTTGTTGCAAATTGAAAACCTTTCGAAGCCAACGTTGACCAACAAAAAGTTTCCTTGTCGAAAATGTTGGAACGAATTCTCATTTTCATTCAACACAAACCGAATAAGACACGAGAAGACATGTAAAGATAGTCAGAAAAAGGTAATTTCTTTTTGATATTTCAAATTCGTACAAATCAATTTATTAACTTTTAACTTAGATTGATGTTTTAGAAACCAAAATACGTTTTACAGTTTTGGCTTACTTCACATTTCATATGCAATGCAAAGAAGCTAAACCTATACATTTATTTCAGATTAGTTCTGATGCGGACTGTCCAAACCCTATCCCTGGAAGTAGTTATTTAACACAAGCAAAACAAAATGAAAAGTTAACATATTATTCTTACTATTTATATCTGTTATAATAGAGATGGAATTAAACACATAATGAAGAT